CCAAACTATGACACTAGTATCAAATGTCCAGTAAAAATCCACGAAGTTGTGAATCAAAGGAATTTTAATGCGTCAAAAGTGCATCATTGGCATGCAAATGTCACACCAACACGTATGTTTCTGTAGATTTAAAGGTGACCTAAATAGATACGGTACATTCTGACTATATCTGTGTTAATAAGAATTAACGCCAGCCGATGCATGGTCGCGTACAGAGAGGGTGTTCAGTCCCAACTATCTACCGATGATCATGCGGTTTCTATGATACTGCCTTGTAACTTTCGTGATGTAAGACTATTATAGTAGTGGAGTTTATTACAAATCAATACTGATAAAACATCATTAATATTTTAACGTTGTTAGGCAACAGTACATATATTAAACATTCTTATTAATAAATATTACCAGTTATTGTATACAGTATACAACGTTTCCTTCTGGACCGTTAATGTATCCATTCAAATTTGTGGACAATTATTTCATTTGAAAGCCGAGCGTCTTAAGATCAAACCACGAGGAAAACATGCATTTCGGTCTAGAAGTCGACATATTTGGTCCTTAATTGTTTACCACAGATATATCCTCTCCTCACACCGACAATAACAGACAGGGGCTGAAATACGACAGAGACCGTTCTGCTAGGCTATCGATAGCGTAATAAAACTATGAGTCGACTAGGACCGTTTGGCCCACATTCATAAGAACAGACGTGCTTAGGTCAGCAAAGATAGCAAAATCCTCTTTGCAAACGTTCAATGTGTTGAATTCAATAGATTCGTTCACTATGTGTCAAGCAGATCATTTTATTTTTAATAAAATTCTACATATATTCTTTGGTTATGCCTTACAAAACTGACCATTAGAGGTGGGTAGTTTGACGACCCGAACTGTGTTCGAATCCTTGGTTGTATCAAAATATTGATATCTGACCACTGTGCGCAGCAACAGTGCAATAGGCTATGAAAGATTAAGTTCTTTCGGTTATACTTATTTACTCTTTTTTTTTGGTTAACATTGCGTGTTTTGTGGCTAATAATAAACAGTTATTTTAAGGCTTTAATGTACACGATGCAAAACAAAATGATACCATCACGCCGTTTAAGCTCTTTGATTACGTCAAATGGAACTCACGTTCCAATAATTTTTGCCAACCCGAGGAGATGGTTAAAAGATGTTCGAATATTACCATCAAATCAGTCTTGGTCAGCTACTATGGTGTCTCCAGGGGAAAGGCACTCAACTCAATTGCTTCAGCAATAAATAACATAGTTGGGTTGCTTTCTGTAAAACACAAAAATTAGCCAACGTTATTTATTTATTTCAATTCCATATAAGGAATTGTTAATTAAAAAATTCAGCTTGTAGCGAAAACTAAAGAAAATTAAGTCACAGAACAACGAAACAACATCAATACATGAACACTTAATTATACGGTTTGGATGGGTCTGCAAGTAATAAAATGGCTGTATACAATAAAATTAGATTTAAGGGGTACAGACTTACTGTCGACAAAGAGTCTCATTTGATCTTTTATCCACTATTGACAATTCTCCATGATACCGCAAAGCAGAACAAATACAATTTTCAGTACGCTACTACAAAATGGACGTAGAGAAATTAACCGTTCGAAAGGTTAAAATACTTCTCCAAGTGATATCTTTTCAAACTGAGATATCTTTGAAATTTGTTTGTGCATGTCAAGCGTGCGTACGTTAACCATAAATTATATCAATTGGTACTTCTCGCATTTTGTCTGAGTATTCGTTACTGTCGAAATGATTGTTCTTGAACTTGGCGCCAGAAGCCCTGGCGAGCTTATGTTAGTTTTGTTTTTGTAATAAATTTTATGAAGTAAAATAAAACTCGTGAATCTCTTTCGATTCTGGTATACAAATAAAACAATATACCCATGATTAAATTCAAGTTGATGTTTTACTTTGAACAATTCCATTACAGTGGAGGAACTAGAGAGGGTGGGAGGTGTTGGTCTTGCTAAGGTACCCACTTCACCAAAACAAAACCCAGTACACTTTTCAATGTAAAAACGGAGACAAATGTGGGCATTTGAAACAAAACTAATGACTCATTTTAAAGATGAACCCTCCTAGAAAACAATTCTAAAGCTATCTGTGGTGTAAAGTGCAATATCTTAACATTAATTTTAAAAGTCCCGGCCCATCTCTAGTTTAAAGTGTAATATCTTAGCTTTCATTAAAAAAGTCATGGACCATCTCTGGTTGAAAGTGTAATATCTTAACTTTAATTCAAAAAGTCACTGATCATCTCTGGTTGAAAGTGTAATGTCTTGACATTAATTCAAAAAAGTCGTGGACCATCTCTGGTTGAAAGTGTAATATCTTAGCTTTAATTCAAAAACGTCCCAGACCATCTCTGGTTAAAAGTGTAATGTCTTAGCTTTAATTTTTTTAAAAAAAATTCCTGCACCATTTTTTTGGTTGAAAGTGAAAGATCTTATTAATTCAAAAAAGCGTCACCGACCATCTCTGGATGAAAGTATAATAGTTTTAATTTAAAAAAGTACCGGTCTATCTCGGGTTGAAAGTGTAATATCTTAGTTTTAATTTTTAAAAAAGTCCCAGACCATCTCTGGTTGAAACATTGTTGTTTTTTTTCAATCCTGGACCCTTATCTAGTTATAAGTGTATTTGTTTTTTTTTTTTGTTTAATTAGAAAAAAAAATCATAGACACTTTTCTTGTTGAAAGTTTAATCATAATCTTAAATAGAAAAGAAATCTAGAACGAATCTCTTAACTGTAATTAGAAAAGAAATACTGTACCCTTCTTAGGTTAAAAGTGTAATATATTAACAGCTGTAATTAGGAAAGAAATTCCGGACCCCTCTCTGATTGAAAGTATAATATTTTACCTGTAATTAGAAAAGAAATTCCGGATCTTTCTTAAGTTAACATTGTATCTTAAAACTTTAATTAGGAAATAAATCCAGGAACCTTCTCTGGTTGAAACTTTAATATCTTAACTGTAATTAGAAAAGAAATCATTGGCCCTTCTCTGGTTAAAAGTGTAATATCTTAACATTCTGAATCCTCCTCCTCCTCCCAATTCTTCTTTTCATGGCTGTTTAAAATATTTCTCAAAACTGTGTTCTACTAAATTCCTATTGATGCTTTATAAGTTGTACGTGCGCACATACGTAACAAATACAAAAAATTAATTTTCAAATCTATCAAGTACCAAATCATAAGGCATTCTCAGAAACAAATGAGGTCGTAATATTCATCAATTCGAAAAATGTCAACACAAACCATATACATATATATGCGTGAAATGTTTAATCTTTAACCACTCTTTCGAGAAAAGTAGAGCTATAAGGAGAATCGCCTGTCCGTTTGTCATTTCAGTGGAAGATCTATGAGTTCTTAGCACAACCTCACCCCATCCCCACCTCACCCCCCAAAAAGAACTCGTGCTTGTTCAACCCCCAGAAGAACTAATGCATGTTAAACCCCCAAAACAACCCATGTATGTTATATCGCCTAGATCAGCAGATTAGAGTTCAATTTCCTTTCGGTGGTCTTGACCAGGAGTCGGCAAAGTATTTTACTTAGCATGCCACTTCTTCCCGGATTAATTACAAAATGAACGAGCGCGTGCCATCCAGTAAGAGAGTAATACTTTAAAATCGAGGTTTTTGGCTGCCTTTTGCATGCCATACAAAACCTCTTGACGTGCATCTTGTTGTACGCGTCCCTTAGGTTGCCAACCCCTGGTCTAGATTTTGGAGCAGAGTGGGCCAACTATAGTCCTGCAGGAAACGAGCTTTATATTTTAGTCAATGTAGCCCAACGTGTTAACAGGGGCCCCGAGTGGCCGAGTGGTCTAAAGCGCTGAGCGTTACGGATCACTGCCATCTCACTTCTGTCTGCGTGAGTTCGAGTCCAGACTCGGCTAACGTGGGTAAGTGAGAAAGCCTTCCAGTAGCTTCTCGTGGGTCGGTGGTTCTTCCCGGGGTTTTCCAGGGGTCTTCCTCCACCAGTAATACTAGCCGCCATGAATAACCTATCTTGTGCTGAAAAATGGCGCTAAACCCTACCACAACAACAACAACAACAACAACAACAACAACAACCAACGTGTTAAAGATGTTGGAGCAACCCACCAGAGTGTGTAACACATGAAGGTGAGTGCTAAGGCAATTGGTGTATAGTGTCTTGCCCAGGAACACAGAAAGGTAGCCAAACCAAACTGACCGACGGTAGGATTTGAACCCGTACCACTTTGGTTTCAAGTCTGACGTGCCTACAGCCAAATACTTACTGTAAAAAAAAAAGAAGTCAAACGGACATATTATTTTCTACGTATATATACGTACGTAAATTTAAAATTTAAAAGAAATACAACTCATGGAGATACTCAGTTTACAAACTCTGATAAGTTTAATAGATCTGTCATTGTCCCATTGTGCAATTAAAATTTAATAACGATACAGAACCAACAAGATCCCACTTCATCGCTTTTATTATTGATTATACAAGGGTGTAATCGGCCATAGTACGCTTTCATGGTGTCGGATGACATCTGGAATGCCTATTATCGCGCGCTCGAAAACAAACGCAGAGACCGAACAATCTCCCTTCTCCTTATAATCAAACCTACATGAATAATTTGTATACCTATATATACTAGCCACGGCGCACAATAATCCTTGAGATTTAAGCCGCCCCTGATTGAAGTGAATATTGTTTAGGTCTTATTCTCCAATCTCTGTATTAAAAAAATGTGATGTAATGTGATTGTGATGTTTAACATAGTTTTAACAATTTTTCAGTCGTATCGCTACGATGTCTGCAGTGGGGCGGTTTATAGTAATGTCTAGCACTGGAGCATCATGACGCAGACATGTGGCATGTTGTCCCACCCCGTAACATTATCTTGACACCGGGCTGACCATTCCTAACACTAATTTGTTAATGCTGAGCGTCAAGCGAGGCAGATATTAGTACCATTTTTTAAAGTCTTTTGTATGACTCGACCGGGGATCGAGCCCACGACCTCCCGCCTCCGAGGCGGACGCTCTAACCACTAGACCACCATAACGGTGTGTTGAAAATATTGTTTAAAGGAAATCTATTCAGATTTTCCTTATGAGTTTATGACCTACATAACCCAGTGTCTCCGTCGTTGCCTTGTCCTTTTACTATTTTGATATTTGCATCAGAACAGAAATGACTTTTACTCATGTGTATCACATCTTTGAAACTAAAATAACGAAACCATTTCCATTAACATTTAGTCAGATATTTTTTTCAGAATTAAAATGCAATTCTTTTTTGTTGTTGTTGTTACTTTAGTATGAGTTCCGAAGTCCATTTTAAAAGGGAAGTTTTTGTACTTCAATACAAATTTAAATTCAGAAAGAAACGCCCCTTCACCTTTTTTTTAATGCAGAAATAAATGCATATCGCGCTATTTGTCTCTTTTGCCTCGTTTGTCTGTAACGGCATATCAATAAATGAAAGGTTATATCGTGTAAAGGTAGTTGGGCCAAGGACATTCCACTACGGACCCGTCTGGCTACGGGGTTCGGCATGCAAACCACTGACCAACCCAACGGAGGCCCTGGAGTATATCACGAATTATAAAATAAGATAAAGGATTCAAAGTAGACAAAAAATTGTTCTTCGTGTAGGCATAAAAATAGACTTTTAACAAATGCATGTGTCTCAATCCAGGAAACTAAAATAACAATTTCCTAGAAGCTGAAAATCTTGGCAACTTTTGAGAGGAAACTTTTTATTTGCTCTTAGATAAAGAGGGGTGTGGAATGGGTAGAATGGTATTATTGAATTGGAAATGTCCGTTTGCCACTGAGACGCATTATGATTGTGTCCAGCTGTAGTTTTGATCTCCATATATACACCTGTCTTTTGAGAGCCAGGTGAGATTATTAGCGTGTGTAAGATAGGTCAGACAGATATAAGTTCTCCATATTGACTGAATTAAAAGTAAATAGCTTGACTTTTCTATCCTGTAATATATACGCTTTAAAATCAAAATAGCACACACTCCTCGAAGTAGTTGTGTTGAACCCTTGAGTTTCTAATATTTTTTCTGAAGTGTATCCGGATTTTCCAGTCTTAGAGAATTTGAAAGCAATTTTGCGGGAAGTAAAAACTTGAGCTTTGCTACCACTATTGCGCTATCTACATTTTGAAATTAATTCGATAAAGAAAAGAAACTTTTATTGTTACCACATGCCATTATGACGGATATTTCTCCAACTTAGTGACCATCTTTGCACCTGATATTGATAATGCGACGCAAACATTGGGCTTTGTCAGGCTAGTTCTAGCTGATTTGACTTTGATTTGATAATGCGACGCAAACATTTGGCATTGTCAGGCTAGTTCTAGCTGATTTGACTTTGATTTGATAATGCGACGCAAACATTTGGCATTGTCAGGCTAGTTCTAGCTGATTTGACTTTGATTTGATACAAAAACGATTGAACTGTTTTACAAATTTTGACCGTTTGCAGAAACGTTGGCGAATGAACTAGAACTCCAGGCGCCACGTTTGGGTTAAACCTCTTCCCTCAATAATTGTCTAATTTCTACCTAACTTATGTCATATTCAGGTATAATGAATCTAACAGCATAGAACTAGTCATAATACCACTTGTTTTCACAGAAGTTCAAAAGAAAGCTGCTACATTCACCCAAAAGTACATTTTACATCGAAAGAGATATTTTTCCCTGTGCCATGGACTCTACGACCAGCGACTTGAAAACCCAAACTAACTTCATCTTCCCAAATCTCGCCAACATTTTCGGTATAATTCAATCGCTGAAGTCTCCGCCATCCCAATTGTACTCAGAGCCTGAAGTCTCCGCCATCCCTCTTTTATTCAAACCCTGAAGTCTCCGCCATCCCTCTTTTACTCAGACCCTGAAGTCTCCGCCTTCCCAATTATACTCAGATTCCGAAGTCTCTGCCATCTCACTTGTAGTCAAACCCTGAAGTCTCCTCCTTCCCACTTGTACTCAAATCCTGAAGTCTCCGCCTTCCCACTTGTACTCAAACCCTGAAGTCTCCGCCTTCCCACTTGTACTCAAACCCTGAAGTCTCCTCCTTCCCACTTGTACTCAGACCCTGAAGTCTCCGCCTTTCCCACTTTAAACTAAGACCTTGAAATCTGTGCCTTCCAGCTTCGGACATATCAGATATATTACATCAAAACATGGACTAAGTTAATTTGAGTTACGGAAACTAAACATATATTCAAATGTCACAGAAAAGGCAAGGCATATTAATGACTCGAACAAGTTATTGATTTCTGAGAGGCAAAGGCTAGTTTTTAAATATCTTTTAAATATAGCTATTATATCACCCATCCCGCCCTTTTACTACACGCTTTTGGAACCACGGTGGATCAGTAGTTGGAGTGTCGGACTAACCACAAAAAGAATGCAGATTCGATTTCGGCCAAGACAATATCAGGTCGGCAGCCAAAGTGTTTCCTTTTACAAGGCACTTTACTCCCATTGGCTCAACACGATATAGCTTTTTATGTGTTGATGTGTTGTCAGATACAAATCAACAAATAAGTACACTTTGGACTGCAGAAAATGCAGTATTTACTGCACTCGCTTCTGCATAACGTGTACTAAAATGTGAACTAAACAGATCTGCTATAGAACCTGCAGATCAGAATCCATTTCATTTATTAAATTATTTTTTTAAATTTTTTTTGATGAACAGACAGCCAAGGATTAGGATCTACGCTGTTCTCAATTTAGTGTGCGATGAACACATAACTACAGTCAGAGTGCATGTTCCAGTTTCTCGCCAAATATTTCTGATTAACGAACACATTTTGTGTGGGTCTTTTCATGATGAAATTAGTTTATCATCACGAAACAGTCGTCTTTATCGCATTCTGAATTATACTAAAGCTACTGTGCCATGAATTGAATTAATGTGGTTGAAACATAAGCCCCTGTTGTAACGAAATGTGATACATTGTACGTTATTGTACTTTGGTTGATCTGAGAATATACTTTCAACCCAGTTAGCATGCTAATAAGTGTCCCTAAGCCTAGCAAACCATAAAAGAAGTTGTCTGCCGTTATGGATAGAAAGGTGGAATGTAGCGGATTGCTGCGCGTGCTTCATTAACTGCAACAAAAATTGCAAGATGCTTTTTTATGAAAACATATAAAATATGCACATCACGGCCACAATTAGAGTAACAAAGCATGGATATGTCAAATGAGGGCTCCCGTAACCCAGTGGTCTGAAAGGTATGCCTCTTAAACCCAGAGTTGCAAGATCAAAAACACATATTGACGACTCGTGTTCCTCTCAAAACCAAATTCAAAAATGGAGTTACAAGATTCGCAAGATGAATAGTTTCCCACTAATCCGCGAAGCCGTGGCCAAAAATAACGTCGATAAAAGTCAACATAATACAAAAATACCATGTACAACAACAAATCAGTTGAGACAACTATTACAGGATGTGCTATTTCCTATTCTCCTATTCTTTACATTCGTACCATTTTATGATTATCACACTCATACTTTGTCAAGTTCAAAAAAAAGGTTAAGTTCTGCAGGTGAAATATCCCAAAAGTATGACAATACGGTATTTTTTTAGTAAAGAGTTCAAAATCATTCCATAGATTTAAGAAATTTGTAGACGGAATAACTTGCCTTTCTTGTTTGAAAATGTGACAGTAGAAAAGACAGAGGTTTTCACCATATGGAGAAAGAAGACATCGACAACAACATATTGTGGTAGTTTAATTGTTGAAGAGGTTTCTTCGCTGAGGGACAGATCCGGTGGTCTAATTGGTAAGAGCGTCCGCCTCGGATGGTCGCGGGTTTGGATCCCAGCCGAGTAATACCAGAGATGTATAAAAGCAGTGCAAACACCTGCCTCTCTTGGCATTCGGCATTAAGAAGTTAGTGTTAGGACTGGTGTCAGGATGACAGGGTATCTGCGGAATGACATCAATATAAGCAGCCACAACTCATACATCGCAGCAATATGACTAAAATTGTTAAAGCTACGTTAAAAATCTAAATCATACACACTCTTCGCTGAGCCTTATTGTCAAACATCTTGTATTCTTTTTTTCCAGTTAGATAAGTAGTTTTTTTAAGTGTGCTAAGGTAACATTTCTTTTTTGGGGGGTGGGGGTGTTTTTTTTTTAACTCGGATTCAGTACATCAATAATCTTCTACATGTAGTGGCCAGAAGTTTCATCATATTCTCCAGTCCTTGCTCTTTTTATTTTAGTTAACAGAAAACAATTTCTTATCTCTGTTCATTTTCTTTTGTTTGTAAGCTACAAGCTGTAAACAAAAAAGGACTTATTTTGTCCGCACTGTATGACTAAATAGACATCATCAAGCGAGTGCGAGAGAGAGAGAGAGAGAGAGAGAGAGAGAGAGAGAGAGAGAGAGAGAGAGAGAGAGAGAGAGAGAGAGAGAGAGAGAGAGAGAGAGAGAGAGAGAGAGAGAGAGAGAGAGATTATACCGTTATATGGTATATGGTAAAGAATCTTAAATGGAATTCTTCATGGATTTCACCAAACCGATAATTCGCATTCACTAGTAACTTGTCCTCTGGGATAATAGTTCTATATAATCCTACGCCTCCTAAGCGAGCGATCTTCGTATATTTTTTTAACAGTCTCATCCAATTAACATCTCCCGAATCGTTTTGCTCCCCAGAAACTGCACAGAATTACCTAAGTTAAAATATGCTGTAGAAAACCTGATTTCCTAAACAGTACCTTTCTCAATCAGCCATTGATTTTTGTGCAATGTTGGCACTTTTGTGATATACATATTTCATGTAATATTTAATTACGTTGAATTGTAATGCGAGTCGAAGTGAAAGCACGCGCACTATTTCGGGTATTTAATCCCATATTCTTTGAGCAAATACCAGATACGCTGTTTTGTAAGTCATTTCTCTGAAAGAGAGTAAATCATTAATGCTAGCTGGTTCAAAAGTTCAGTGAAGATTTATAGTCTGGATTGTCCCCATGCCGAATCGCATGTGTAAACGTCCCTAATTGCTTGAA